TAGAGAAAAAACACCCCAGATTACCTAGAGAATTGTTTGGCTAAAGGACAGAATTATTTATTTTAATAATAACCTTATTGAGATAGTATTCACAAATCATAAATTTACCCACTCAAAGTGTGCAATTCAGTGACTTTTGGCTGATGTTGCACTACAATTCAGTGCACCATTATCACTGCCATCACCCCCCAATACCCATGAACGGTCACTCTCCTTTCCCCTCACTCGTAAATTCCCTAACCCTAAGCAACTGTTACTCTACTTGCTGTCTCTATAGACTTGCCCATTTTGGACATTCCAGAGTAAAGGAATCACATACTATGAGCTTTCCCTGAGCATAATGTTTTCAAGATATATTCATGTTATAGCATATATTAGTATTTTATTCATTTTTACTGCTGAATAAGATTCCATTCTGTGGATACACTACGTTTTGTTTATTCATTTACCAGTTGATGGATATTTGGGTTATGTCCACCATTTGGCTGCTATGAATAATGCTGTCATAAACATTCATATACTAGTCTTTCTGTGGACATATGTTTTCAGTTCTCTTCGGTATATACTGATGAGTGCAATCGTTGGGTCACATGGTAACACTGTGTTTAGCGTGTTGAGGAGATGCCAAACTGTTTTCCAAAGTGGCTGCAGTTGTCCTATTCCACCAACAATGCATGAAAGCTCCTGTTTCTTCACATTCTCACCAATAGTTGTTACTATCTGGAAACAGAATTGTTTTGAATGAAAATATAAAGTCATTAAAATAGAAAAATTCCAATTAGATTATGTTATGCTCATTTAAGGCGGCCCTTATATTGGTCACGTGGTATTAGAACTTAAAGTTGAGTGCCACTTTGTAGCTGTGTATACAAAACAACTTGTTAGAGTCTAATTACCTAATCATTAGTGTTTACCAGGTGGTTGGGGAATGCAGGTTTCTTTTATGTCTAATTGAGGTAAAGGGTCGTGAAGTGATTATATGTATAATGCTGTTGAAAGTTTCTGACATGCAATCCAATATAATTGAAATAGGACAAATTGAATAACAGAGTTAAATTTGCAAAATAGGATACAAACAAAAATTATTATATGTAAGTTGCTCCCTAGGACATTTGGGTAGTGAGTTGGCCTTAGGGCCGGTGCCCCATATTTGTACTTACTTGATGTGGTTCTACTTGCCCACACTTATCTCCTGTGACTTCCCTATATTTGCATATCCAAGGAGTTCACTAGACAGTCGCCACACCCTGTGCAGAGAATTTTTTTCTTTTTATGAGGCACTGAAGTTTAATGTGGTCAGATGGGAAAACAGATTCTGTAGTCCCGTGAGTCTCTTTCAGATAGACTTGTGTTTTATGAATCGAGGAGAGCTGATAATGATATCTTATAAAAAACAAAAACAAAAATGTCACTCTGAAGTCGATCTCCCCACCCCCCCACCCCAGCTTGTCCAGTTCTTCGGTGGGCTTCCCATCACCCATTATGGGATTGAGTCTCAGGTGTGAAAGAGGCCATACAGCTGTCTTTATGGCCTGACCTCTGTCCACATGTTGAACCTCAACTGCTGCTATTCTCTGGGCACTGAAGTGTTTGTCGTTCCCCACCTTGAGTGCACACAGTATGATGCCCTTCTTCCTCTGCTAGTGTTTCATTTCTTCTTTTAGGAGTACCTTTCTCTCTCTGTAACACTCAATCAAGGCATCACCTCCACCAGATCTCCCAAGCCTTTACTAGGCCCGAGATACAGCATTGATCTGGGTGTTTTGTTTATCACCAGGAAAAAACAACCAAAGCAAAGAGAAAAACCCCTGGTCTTGTGGTGCTTATATTTTATCTGAGAGAGATAGAGATCAAACAATAAATATAATAGCTAATTACACACTTTGCATAGTCTATGACAGGTCTAGGAAATACGAAGACAGTGACACAGAGTAATGGGAATTGGAAATGTGGGGTATGGGAAAGGTGGAATGAAACACTGAATAGGGTGGGTGGGTGGGGCCCTTCTTTAGAAGACCTCAGAAAGGATGAAAGAATTTGGGGAGTGGCTACAGCTAAAGAAAGGGTTTTCTGGGCACAGCAAACCGCCAACCGCCAACCAAAGAAATTACTTAACTGTGAGAGCCTCTATGTTACATTGATCTAATTCCAGCCATAAAGGACAGGGTAGTTTTCCCAGATATCCTTTCTGTAGACAGATGTGTATTTCCATTTGGATTTTTGAAATTCCAAAAATAGCTCCAAGACAAATAAATCTCTTTTGTCTACTTCCCTCCCCACATCCCTATTCAGTGTGCATTTTGTTGACTGTTAATAGTCCAGAACTCCCAGTCAAGAATTACTGTATACCTAAGCCATATGATCATCTTCTTTCTTTCTCCATCATAAGCTCTGGATACACCATCTGTGAAGTATGTGTCCCATAATTTTTTCTTATCTCCAGAGGACCAGTACTGTGTCTGTTCTTCCTTCTCTCAATCACATTCCTTTATGTTCCATCTTCTCTTGTTTTTAATTTCCTTCCACATCTTCACCTATGGGCACTTTCTGGTTTCTGTTTTGTGATAAGTCTCCAAATACTGTCTGTCAATTCTTCCTTCTGTCTGATAAACTAGAGTGGAAAGGTGTTCTGGCACCTTCACCTTTCCCTAGCAGCTTGCAGTAAACAGGCATATTCGTGGGATTTCCCTTCCCTGAGAAGAAATCCAGCCCAGTCCTTCATAGCATTTTAAGCATTTCTGTTGCTCCCATACTTGCTGATTAGATTTGGGTTTGGGTGATAATAATCACTAAAATTAAAAAAAATAAGTTTGCTGTATCACCCTGTTTTTCATTCCTTTTTTTTTTTTTTTTTTTGGTTGGGGTCTCACTCTATTGACCAGGCTGGAGAGCAGTGGATCACAGCTCACCAGTCTTGACCTCCTGGGCTAAGGCAATCCTTTCGCCTCAAGCTCCAGATGAGCTGGGACTACAGGTACATGCCACCACACCTGGCTAATTTTTAAAATTTTTTTGTAGAGACGAGGTCTCGCTATGTTGCCTAGGCTTGTCTTGAACTCCTGGCTCAAGTCATCCTCCTGCCTTGGCCTCCCAAAGTGCTAGGATTCCAGGCATGAGTCACTGCGCCTGGTCCTTTACTGCGATTTTTTAAAATGACATGATTTTTCATATCATTATTTTATATTTCCAGGTGGTTTTGGAAATAAATACTAGGAGTATTTTTATTCCTCTGGAGCATCTTACTCTGACACAATTATATACGCTAAAAAAAGAATTAGCCCAAGACCTGTAAATGTGTGTATACATATTCCTGGATTTAAAATGTATTTTTTTCCCCTTCTCTTGTGTCTGCTTTATTTCCATATCAGAAACTTTAAATGCCAGAAGATAATCGTTTTTTTTTTTAATTTCCTGAAATGCTCCACCCTGGAACTTCTTCACAAGTTGCGTTTCTTAAATAAGATGGTGAAGGATTTATCCCTCTCCCTCCTCCCACCCAACATAGTCATTTAATGCTCATCAGTGATAACAGATGTGGGAATTTGTTGACTTGTGTTTGCTTCACAGATTTGGTTTTGTAAATGCTGAGAAGGATGCATAAATGTAGCTGTGCATTTTAGAGAAAGTTTTGTTTTATCCCACATCCTGTACTGCATCCCTGTATCTTAATTGCAATTGGTGAGGCTTTTTTGGTTCACTTGTATTTTTTAATTTAAAATTTTTATCAGAGTAATAACTGTACATTGTTTAAAACTCAAATAACATTTTCAATGCTTGCAAGCAAAAAAGAGCATTTTGTCACTGTTCTCTCACTACTTCTCTGCTCTCCCCTCCTGTGATACTCTCTTTCAGGTTGTTTATCGGTGGGTTTTTTTGTTTGTTTGTTTTTTAGATCCATGTTTTTACATTAGAAGATTATTTTGGCATGTCTAGATTTTTTAATGCTTACTTTTTATTGATTGTGGAACATAAGGATTTAGCATGCAAACACTCTGTCATCGCAACAAAGTTATGGCAAATTCTACTAAAAATTAGTTATGTTCTGAAGGGAAGAGTTCATTAATTTTAAAATATTATTAAAGCCCAGTAATTTCATAAATAAAAAAATGAGTTTTTATAATATGTTTGGCAGGAAAGTGCACTGAAAGCAAAATTTTAGAACCCAGTAGGTGTTTCTGTCTATATTTAAGAAGGTAACAATATTAACAATTTTGCTTTAGCAACTGCATTAAAAACACAGGAGAAAGTCTTCGTTTATTCTTATCTTTCAATGGTTCCTGAGTGAGTTTTGTTGCTTTTATAGATGCAGAGGTGAAAGTTTAGCCCCATTTAAAAGAACTAAAAGTGCTAAGAAAAACTATTTCTGAGAATCATAGATTTGCATGAAAAACCTCACAAAGGAAAAATAGCAATTGCCTCAGCATGAGACATGGAACATATTTTAAGATAATTGGGACTGTTTTATATGTGCTTCCTTTGGTTTAGTTTTGATTTCATGTATGTACTTTAATTTGTTTCTATCTTTTAATTTTTTTCTTGATGCTTTCTAAAGAATATAAAAGACTTCTGAGGATCTCATTACTACTTGTGAAATTACCTTCCTCTGTACCATTGGATGTAATTTTTTTGTCAGTCAATTTTACAAGAAAATAGTGTCTTAGAACAGGTTATTATATTTTAGCAATCTGACATTAGTGAAATGCCTAGAAATACATTTTGTGTAAGTTCAGATGCTTTGTTATAATTTCCGCTGGGTGGATATTTTAAAGTTAATTCTTTTTGGCATATTTAACTTCTACAGGAATTATCTTTTTGCTCTTCTTCATATTTTTCATCATTCCTGTCAGTAAAAATTTACATTTTTTGTTTTTTATTTAGCTTAAATGCTGGTTATTAATCATTCTCTCACTAAGTGTGGTTCAAAGTGGTCTAATTGAAGACGTTCCATTATTTGGTGAATACATAAGTTTACAAATTCAATTTTTGGTTTTTTTGTGAAGGCACTGAGGCGGGAGTTAAAGGAGAAGGAATATTCTATCCTGAATGCTGTTGACCAGGCTCGAGTTTTCCTGGCTGATCAGCCAATTGAGGCCCCTGAAGAACCCAGAAGAAACATACAATCAAAAGCAGGTGAGAATGGTTTCTTATGGACATCACATAAAACGCATGTTAGAAGAACAAAAATGCAAAAGTAGGAAATTTCCTTACATTTCAGGATCCAATATTTAAACCTTTCCTTCTGGGTGTTATTTTAATCAGGTACGTCATTATTTAACAAATATATAGATTCTTAAATGAAGAAAATGGAACAACTGTATACTTAAATATCATTGTTTTTAAAGGAAATTAACTGCAGAAAAAAATGGATTTGTCTAAAGAGTACACTGTAAACATAAAAAGAGTTTATTTAATAAATGAAAATGTATGTGTCTTATATTTAAACAAGTTACAGGATAAGTAATTGCAAGTAGAAAAAAGTTATTAAAATCCAATAGTAAGTATATAAAATATTAAAATATCTATAAAGTAAGAATACTTTTAAAAGTGAAACACTGAAGTACCTTTTTTTTACAAGCAGACAACAGCATTTCTTTAATTAAAACATAACGATCTCTAGCATTAATGTACTTTGACTTAAAATTGAAATGAAACAGTAACTACCATGGTAGCAAACTTACAAGGAAAAATTTATATTTCGTATATTTAAACAAGTTACATGATAAATAATTGCAAGTAAAAGTTATTAAAATATAATAGTAAATATATAAAATACTTAAATATCTATAAAATATGATTACTTTAAAAAATGAGATACCAAAGTGCCTTTCTTTTACAGGCACACAACAGCATTTGTTTAATTTAAACATAACAACCTATAGCATTTATGTAACTTAAAATTGAAAGAGTAACTACCTTGCTAGAAAATAGCAGTATCTCACATAGTAAACTTAAGAGAAAATTTGTAATGAGTTTCGGATCCAAAATATATCTTCTTTGTGATTTTTCACTGTTGACAATAAAAGCATTTGGATATATTTTTAAAAATAAACATGCCATTCAAAATGTTTTTTCATCATTCACTTCAAACAGCAAACCTGAAAAATTGCCTCATGCTAGATCCAGCAGTGTAAATTATGGGCATTTATTATTTGTAAGGGACACATAGTTGGAAAACACTTTCTTTGACTATAGCTGGAACTGGATCAGACATTTGGACAGGTAGCCATTTTCCTGCTAAACGTTTCTCAGGAAACTATTTTAGTTTGTCTGAAACATTTCAAGTCCTGACCATGGTTTTCTTGACTTGTTGAACCTAGTTTTGTGTGTGTATATATACACATATGCATGCACACGCACAGCACATTTATCATCCTTTCTAGTGTCAGTTTTTATTTTCCACTAGTGGTATCACTGCCTTTCCATTCAGCCTACTGGGAACCCTAAGTCATTGTTGAATCTTCCGCTTTTTATCAAATCCAATAGTCTTCAAATCACTCATATTATATATGTATACAATGTGTATGTGCATGCATATGTGTATGCTGTATACACACAAACACACACACACACACACACACACACGGGGGTGTCAAAAAAAGTATACACATTTCAAGCAATGTTATCTATGCATTATTTTTTGAAGTTGAATTAAGTTATGATAGCAACATGTAGTATGACATTTGCTCAATCATGCATCTGCCACTTTCTTTGACTGCCCTGCCTGTTGCATGGTGATGCTAACATTTATTTAACTAATGCCATATTTAAAATGTGTATATATTTTTGACACTCTCTCTCTCTATATATATAAATCATACACACATATGCGTATGTGCGCGCGCACACACACGCACACACACACACACACACACACACATAGACACACACGTACTACCCTTAATTCCAGATTCTCAGCATTTGGTATAGAGTCTTTGGAGAGTTTTAGGCAGAATCACTTGCTATTTTTGGTAGCACTTGTCCCATTACGTTACTCTGTCTCCTGTATGCAACACATAGTATTTGCCCATATATTCTCTCTTCTCAGTCTATTACTGCTGAGTAAATCTTATCCTAGATTCATATTCATATTCCTTTCCTGACTATACTTTTATACATTCACTGCCTTTCCATTGCATGCTGGAAAAAATTCTTGGTTCTGGCATAGTATTTAAACATCTTTTTAAATCAAAGCTCTCCTGACTTTTCAACTTATTTTTTACTATCATGTTCATAGTTCTATAATCAGTGTATGCTATCTACTTCCTTGAGTGATCTTAGGAATGTCTTGTCATAGCTAATCTACATCCTCTTCTTCCATCTTTTGAATTCTTTTCAAAAGAACATTTTGGCTGGGTGTGGTGGCTCATGCCTGTAATCCCAGCATGTTGGGAGGCAAAGGCTAGAGGATTGCCTCAACCCAGGGGTTTGAGAACAGCCTGGGCAATTGGCAAGACCTCATCTCTACAGCACATCAAAAAAATTAGCCGGGGTGGTGGTACATGCCTATAGTTCCAGCTGCTTGGAAGGCTGAGGTGGAAAGATAGCCTGAGCCCAGCAAGTCGAGCTGCAGTAGCCATGAGCGTGCCACTCCAGTCTGGGTGACAGAATGAGACTTTGACAAAAACAAAACAAAAAGCAAAATGAAACAAAATACTTTACATTTTACGGCTTGGGGTCAGAGCATTAGAGAGGAAGTAGTTCAACCCAACTTACTTTACAGATGAGAAAACTGAGGTCCACAGAGAAGTGATCTGCTCAGGTTGTCACTTAGTTCTGCTCGATACCTAACATATCCTGCTTTTGTTTATATTAATTTGGTTTCTGATGTTAAAATGTTTGGATTTGCCCTGAGTTGTGGAAACCATTTAAAATAATTTTATATTCTATATGATGTTTGTATATATATGTTTGTATATAAAAGTTTGATTAAAAAATGCGGCTACTCGGAAACCTGATGCGGAAGGATCGCTGGAGCCCAGCAGGTTGAGGCTGCGGTGGCCGGGAGCGGCCACTGCACTCCAGTCTGGGCGACAGAGTGAGACTCCAACTCAAAAAAACAACAAACAAACAAGCAAACAAAAATGCATTATATAGATGAGTAGTGTAAAGAAATCATTTTCTTTACTATTGTGACTTTACATACAGTCTAATGTAAGGACATTTTAATGAGCTCAGCGGCTAATAATGATTACCCTCTCTGCCCCAGCTAATACCACCATATTTACAAACAAAATGTACCCTAATTGTAGAGAATTCCTTGGAAGGGTTGAACTCATCAGCATTTGCTTTTCCTTACAATCTCTAGTTCATAAAGATTAACTGTAGATGGGAGAAACTGATATTATTATTATTTTTTCTCTTTTTTTATTATAGATATGGGGTACAATTCAGGGTTAGGTATACAAACGTTGATTATGCAGGTACCCTTGTTGATGAGGTATGCCCCTCCCTCCCCTCGCAGTTTCCCTCAACAACCAATCCCACCCCCGCCGCCCCTGACAGTTTTCCACTACTGCCAATCCTTTCTTATAGTATAATTGTTCAAGTTCCGCTTATGAGTGAGAACATAGAGTACTCTGTTCTTTGTTTCTGTGATAAATCACTGAGTATGATAGATTCTAAATCCATCCATGTTGCTGCAAAGTCCATATATTTGTCATTCTTTATGGCTGCATAATATTCCATTGTGTATATGTACCACATTTTTTTTATCCAGTCCAGCTTCGATGGGCAACATGGTTTATTCTATGTTTTTGCTGTTGTGAATAGAGCTGCAACAAACATACATGTGCAAGTATCTTCTTTGTAGAATGATTTGAGTTCCTCTGGGTATATTCCTGATAGGAGAATTGCTGGGTCATATGGAAGGTCAATTTCTAGTTCTTTCAGATACCACCACACTGTCTTCCAGAGAGGTTGCACTGGTTTGCATTCCCACCAGCAGTGTAGAAGCAGTGCTTTTTCTCGGCATCCTCGCCAGCATCTGTTGATGTTTGTTTTATTAATGATGGCCATTCTTACTGGGGTTAGGTGGTATCTCAACGTGGTTTTGATGTGCATTTCTCTGATGATTGAGGCTGAGCACTTTTTCATGTGTCTGTGGGCTGCCCGTATATCTTCTTCTGAAAAATGTCTATTCATGTCTTTTGCCCACTTTTGAATAGGGCTGTTTGTTTTTTTCCTTTTGGCACGTTTAAGTTCCTTGTAGATTCTAGATTTTAGACCTTTGTCAGATATACAGTTGGCAAATATTTTTTCCCATTCTGTGGGCTGTCTTCCTGCTCTCTTGATGGTTTCTTTTGCTTTGCAGAAGCTAGTTAGTTTGGTGAGGCCCCACTTTTCTATCTTATTTCTTAAGGTATGGGCATTTAGGGTTCTGAATAGGAATTGGTTGCCAGTTTCAATTTCCATAAGATTGTCTCCTGCGTTTTCTAAGATTCTTATAGTTTGAGGTTTTACGTTTGGGTCTTTGATCCATTTACAGTTAATTTTTGTGTATGGTGATAGGTAGGAGTCCTATTTCAGTCTTCTGCATGTGATCAGTCAGTTTTCCCAGTACCATTTACTGAATAGGTTCTCCTCGTCCCAGGGGTTGTTGTTGGAGGCTTTATCAAAGATGAGTTGGTTGAGAAATTGAGGCTTTGCTTCTGGAATCTCTATCCTGTTCCATCAGTCTATATGCCTGTTCTTGTACCAGTATCAGGCTGTTTTGATTACTGTAGCCTTATAGTAAAGTTTGAAGTCTAGAAGTGTGATACCTCCTGCTATGTTTCTTTTGCTAAGGATTGTTTTGCTAAGGATTTGTTTTCATGGTCGTGTATGTTTCCATATGAATTTCTGTATTGTCATTTCCAGGTCTGAGAAGAATGATGTTGGTAACTTAATGGGTATTGCATTGAGTCTGTAGATTGCCTTTATTAGGATGGACATTTTAACAATGTTGATTTTTCTATCCATGAGCATGGAATATTTTTCCATTTGTTTGTGTCTTCTTGGATTTCTTTGAGCCATGTTTTCTAGTTCTCATTGTAAAGGTCTTTCACTTCTCTGATTAGGAAGATGCTGAGATATTTCATCTTTTTGTGTGGCTATTGTGAATGGGATTGTGCTTTTGATCTGGATCTCTGCCT